CTTTGATAAAACCTTTCGGGCATCTGTGTTTTGACTTCTATCTAGATTCTCTCTCGGCACACCCCTGGTGGTCATGTGAGTGTGCTGCCTCTATGCAGCACAGAGGTCCTCATCATACTCAGTGAGCTTTTAGGAGTTTGGTCCTATGTGTTTATTCTAAGCTTCCAAGACCGAGAATACCGCTGGTGAACATCAGGTGCTCCACATGCCGGACGCGGAGGTCCAGTCTTTGTAGTTAAGAATGCTGGGGGATCTCTTCCAAAGGAAGGAAGTATGGAGATTCTAGGTTCATATCACTCACATCTTGACATTGTGAACTTCAACAGGCCCTCATTTTGTTCTTTATAAAATTGGAATAATATCATTGTCCCTAAGCATTATTTATGGGCGTTGTAGAAAGTAAATGAAACCATATGTATAAACCACTTAGTCTTGGATGCAGTAAGTGCCTCATAAATGTTATCTAGCATAATCACTGGCCATTGCTGGGGGAGGTTACTTATTCATTTTCTAGCTGCCCAGACTCCCAAAATAATTACATAGGAATCTGTATTAATTGCAATACTCTTTGGCCAATAGCTTAAGCGTATTTCTTATATCTTAATTCTTATATCTTAAATTCTTATATCTTATATCTTAAAGTAACCCATTTCTTTTAATCTGTGAAGCCACATGGCTAGATAGCTCCCCTGTTTTGTTTTGCTTTTGTAGCCATGGAAAATTAAAAGCATTAAGTACTGTGACGCTGAGGTCAACAATCTTCACTCCGTGGCTTTTGTTTCCATATTTCTAACATCATTGCTTTGTCTGAAAAAATAATGCTTCAGCGGGCGGTGGATGATGGGGCTTGTTAGTTTGGAGGCTTGGGTTTTGTGAAACCACATGGGGAATTCAAGGAAAGAGATTCCGGTAGAAAGATGTGTGCAAAACAAGAAATTTAGAGAGGAGGAAGCATGATGGGGCACTAAATTGTTCTCTTCAGAATACTTCGGAATATTTCCACTTACTGACTTTTAGGGAGCAACCATTTTGTTGGAATATTTATTTGCCCATATTAAAAGTGTTCCCAGGGGCTGAAGAGATGACCCTGTAGTTCAGAGCATTGGCTGCTCTTCTCGGAGACCCAGGTTCAGTCCCCAGCACTCACATGGTAGCTCACAGCCATCTGTAACTACAGTTCCAGGGGATTCAGCACCCTCTTCTGGCTTCCGTGGATACCAGAAATTCACAAGAAGATGGCTTAGTGTTAAGATTGCACACTGCTCTTGTGGAGGACCCATGTTCAGTGCCTAGAACACACATTAGGTGGCTCGCAGATGCCTGTAACTTCAAGTTCATGGGTTTCCCATGCCTCTAGTCTCCTCAGGTGCCTGCTTCATATACACATACGCACAGGCAGACACAAACACATACAAATAATTAAGAATAAATCTTTTTCTTCAAAAAGAATAGTTTCTGCTTGGATTATGAATGGCCACGCTTTCAATATTGGACTCCCTTTTGGCACACTGAGCTGCTGACAAGTGGGAACGGGTAAGGAGTTATACATGCTGCCCTCGGGTGTGCCAATTCCCTCAGCGTGATTGCTAGAGAAGTTTTCATGGAAAGGCAGCCTACTCAGGAGGTTGGGGAGATGGCTCGGTTGATAAGAACACTTGTTCTACAAGCTTGAGAACTTGAGTTCAAATTCCGTGGTACCCATGGAAGCCAGATGTGGCATCATACATGACTGTGACCTCAGCACTGAGGGAGGCAGAAACAGGAGCATCACTGGGGCTTGCTGGCTGCCAGCATAGTTTCGAATTCAGTGAAAAGACTCTGTCTCAAGGGTATAAACTGGATCGTGATAGAGGTGGCCACCCAATGTCCTCTGGCCTCCATGTAGGCATGTGCACATGTGCATACACTACACACACACACACACACACACACACACACACACACACACATACCTGCCACATGCACACATAGTGGACTGCTTTCTATAAAGGCTCAAGTTTATATTACGCTTGAAGTAAAATCCTTTCATTTTTTTTAAAGATAATACTGGCTTAATCTTTGTGTCTCTGGTTTTCTCATTTGGAAATGGGTACTACAGTTCATTGCTCATGGGAGTATTGTTGAGTTTAAATAATAAAACAAAAATCCTCAGTACAGTCCCCACCACAAATCAAACTTCTAACAAACTCAAGTTATCTCTGCTTCAAGAAGATGCAGAGGATGCCACAGATACATGTAGTCCACTGGCAATAGGTCAGGTCTCCTGTACCGAAACAGACCCTGAAGTTCTTGTCTCCCGGCAACAGGGGCATTCCCCATGCCCTGATGGAATCACCAAGTATATTAGTGTGGAAACAGTAAATCTTAACTCTTCTCACTGAGAGTTCAGTAGCACGGATCTCAGCTCACAGCCACTGGGTCCACTTCATGCTGAAGGCGATTGAAGACAGCCTTCTTAAGTGGTGTAATGGGCATCTAGCATGAAGCCTTCTCCAGGGTGGCTGTGGTTTCAAAATGGCTGAGTGGTTGTTTTCTGGCATTTTGCTCTCTGGGTCTCGGAAAACCATAAGTTATCACACAAAGGGAGACAGTGAGCTGAGCTGAGCGTGGGTGAGGCGGAGTGCTTGATTTGAGACACAGAAATTCTTTTTATTGTTCTACTGTGACTTTGAACAATGGACCTTTTCACAGAACTGAGGTTTATATGTAGTTGATGTTGTCCCATGTAAGCTCTGGAATGGTTTCTTTTTTTAACACACACCCTATTTTATTTTAAAAAGAGGTGTAAGGCTTCCTCAAATGTTCGTACTTCTTGCCTTCTTAACTGAAAATATGCACTGTAAACCTGATGTTTCTTGAATACATTCTATGAAGCTGATGCCGTGTTTCAGGGCTTCACTATTCATTAATTTTCACAACAAGCCTGTGGGTGCTGCCTAACCCTTGCCTTAAGATGGGGAAACTGAGAGCAGAGAAGCCACATTATTTATTCAGGGTCCTATAGTTAGAAGTGGTGGAGTTGAGATTTGACCTCCATATCCCCAGATCTTTAAGAAACAGGACTTATTGTTGGAAAACAATTTGACTAAGAAATGACAGAAATGGTTATTTAAAAACATCAAAGTAGAACCCTTGGAAGTCTGAGCATCCATTTCAAGTGTTCCCATCATTCTGGTGTTGGAAAAAGGTGTGCTTTCAACCTGCAGTACCAACGTTCACATATCCATGCCTAGTTCTTCTGTTTAGCAAGCGTTCTTGGAGCACTTTCTTTATGGTGTGACAGTAGGACCATTGCATGCTAGGAACTACAGAAATTAAGGAGTATCATAAGACTCACAGTTGTCTTCCAAAAGGCTCCTTACAAGAGATCTGTCACCTAAAGCAAGTTGGGGACCTCACTTCACTCACAAATCAGGAGGATCCCGAGAAAGTGTCGACTTTAAAACCCATCCTTCAAGGAAATCATCCTCTTTGCCTTCCTCCATCCTGTATGAATGAGACTAACGAGTGAGAGCAGGGGACATGGGTAGAGTCAGAGTCAAAGAGGCATCTCTGTGTTCAAAATCCGTCAAGCTTTCTTGCTTGGCCAGTTGCTAGTGGACCTTGGATTAGATGGAATCATTTCTTTTAAATGGTAGCTAATGAAAATGAGGAGCTTGTAAAGACTGCATCTCTTGATAAAAGGCATGTTTTCAATGAGATGTGTTCCTCTGTGCAGTCAGCAAATGAAGTTAAATGCATCCCTAGATTGAAGCCAGCGTACGCAAAGCCATTGGGTACATTGATGGCATCAGTGAAATTGAGCATATGATTTCCTGTGGCTATGACTTAGACGTAAATTTCATGACTGTCTCATTTTAAAAGTAATGAGTTAACCGAAAATACTCTAACTTCTTGTACTGGGTGGTTTTGTGTGTCAACTTGATGCAAGCTAGAGTCATCAGAGGAAGGAGCTTCAGCTGAGGAAATGCCTCCTTGAGATCCAGCTATAAGACATTTTCTCATTTAGTGATCAATGGGGGAGGGTGTAGCCCATAGTGGGTGGTGCCATCCTGGGCTGTTGGTCCTGGGTTCTATAAGAATAAGAATGCAGACTGAGCAAATCAGGGGAAGCAAGCCAGTAAGTAACACTCCTCCATGGCCTCTTCATCAGTTCCTGCCTACAGAATCCTGCCCTGTTTGGGTTCCTGACCTGACTTCCTTCAGTGATGAACAGCAATGCTGAAGTGTCAGCCAAAGAAACCCTTTCCTCCCCAACTTGTTTTTTGGTCATGATGTTTTGTCACAGCAGTAGAAACCCTAACGAAGACACTTCTCTCATCCAGACTGGACTTAGATTCTGTATTCTCACACCACTGGGGCCATCCTTTGATAGCTCTTCTCTGAGTCACATTCCTCCCGTAGGGACTGATGTAGTCTCTTGATGTATCCCGTTCACTATTCCTGGTTATTCCTGGTGCTGCTTGGGCACAGTGCTGGCATAAATGTGTGATGATCGAGGAGAGGTGGTTGGTTGTCTTGAACCCTTTTAAATCAAGTCTCCTTTCTCTTTCTGTCTCATAGATCGACCAGTAGCCATTGTGTCTGGCTCCTTTCCCTGCATCTGTTCATAACCATGCCCTAGTATATTTGTTCCATTTGGATTAAGTGCTAGAAAGTCTAATGATCAATCTAGTCACTCTGTGTTTTCGGGATAAGCGCGAACAGACTCTGAGGGAGGATAAGGGGCCAAATTAGTGCGTGAACTGCAGCGATCTTCAGTGCCGGGAAAGAATTACTTATCCGCATAGAGATAATTGAATTTTGTTTTATTGCTGATATCTAGCTAAGTGGCATTACTATCAGGGACACTTTGGCAAGAAGGAAATTTTTTTTTACAAAAGGAAGGAGAGGAAAGGAGGGAGAAGGCAGAAGGCAGGGGAAGGGAAGAAAAGGCCGCAGTGATGCTCTGGGGGGGAAATCTCATTTTGAATCTCTTCCTTTCTGCTTGCTGTCCACAGTGGTTTGAACTTCATTGACCTGATGGTGCGACAAGGGAATATTGACAACCCTCCTAAGACACCCTTGGTGCCAGGATTCGAGTGTTCTGGGATTGTTGAAGCTCTGGGGGACAGCGTGAAAGGATACGAGGTAAAATTTTAAGTCTGACGTAAGCAGCGGTAACCATCTAGAATCTGTGAGGAAGTAAAGCTACATAAGACACATTTGAAATAGTACCAGTAATGTTTATTTTGTCACTTTGAGCTAGATTACATTAACCATGTTTTTAATGATAGGACTTTCTAAAAATCTCGTGATTTTATTGGTTTGCTTATTTTTTAGGATTTTTTTGTTGCTCTTGACAACAGTTTGAGGAAGTGGGCTGGACAAGTCTTATTCATTTTTCATACTCACTTAACATAGCTATTAAGACTATTTGGTTTTGTAGTAACTAAGTGCACAGTCCCTTGTTCCATCTACAGCTACCATTCCCACCATCTCAGGCCTCGCAATCAGCTACAAAACACAAAAGTAAGGCGAGTTAATTATTTTATAATATGGTTCCTTAAAGTATTTACCTGGTTGATACCTTTTAAGTTATCTTTTGCAAATCATAAACTACTTCAGGAATGGATAAAAAAAGGGGCTATAGATTAAAAAAAATAATTTAAGTCAAGGAATCTCAAACTGACAATGGGATTGAATTGGTGAGGGATTAATGGCTTCAGGAAGAGGGCAACACGTAAGTGGTTTATTCCATTATTCTCTTTTCATTCACATGTGATATTCTCCACACAAGTGGAGAATACATTTTATTTTGAAAAAAATGCATGCATGAATCTTCCTACTGTCCTAATGCAAACTAAATACAACTTAGTCCATAAAAACTGAAGCACAGTATCTGGTAAGGTGTCATTTGAATAAAGGTGTTTGCCATCAAGCCTGGTGACTTTAGTTTAATCGCTGTAACACACGAGGTTGAAGGGGAGAACTACAAGTTGTCCTCGGACTTCCACACGAGTGCTTTGGTACACACACATACATATACACACACACATACGCACACACACACACACAATCTAATGAAATACTGCAGCAACACCAGTCATATAAAATTGAGGAGGCATCTGAAAATTTACTACAAATCAAATTCTAGGTTTCTCACTCATAACTGGGATCTCAGAAGAAAGGCAGGGAGATTGACATATAAGAACACATCATAACCAGCTTTGAAGAGCAGTCATCTTTACTCTAACCATAGTACATACATAGAGAGAGAGAGAGAGAGAGAGAGAGAGAGAGAGAGAGAGAGAGAGAAAGAAAGAGAGAGAGAAGGTTCTTACTATTCCCTCTGGTTCAGAAGGTGTAATAATCAATAATTCTCTGTGAGGCTAGAAGGTAGAAAGTAGAAGCAAACCCCAGATTTACATCACTAAAGCCTAAGTCACAGTTCCTAGAATCTCATGGTCTTTACCCATATTCCCACCCTCAACCCAATGTTACAAAAATATGTGCAAGAAATGAGTGAAGATGAACCCTGTAATACCAGCTCATCAACTTGACCTTCAGCCTGCAGCTCATCCTCATCCCAGTGGGAGCTTCAATCTACCTGAAAATACTGAATGTTCTAAAGGCATGTTGAGGGATGTCTGGAAACCTCATCCCATTTAGCGATGCTTCTGTCAAAGATGTCCTAATGACCAAGGAGAAGAAAGTTTTAGCAGAATTTCAGCTACCCTGGTTTATCTGATTCCCTCATCACTAAAATAGAGTGGTTAAGTAATTCAGTTAGAAGATAGGTTGGCTACTCTATGATGTGTCGTGCAAGTAAGGAGGCTAATAGAACCTGGACTCCATGGCCCCTGAAAGACTTTAATATATTGGCTATGAAGGATCAAAATGTCTTGAAATAGGGAGGTAGATATGAATATGCATCTTTGGGGATGCTAGGTTTTATTTCATGGGAGAGGAACTTTAATTTCCATCAGATTCTAATTTCAGCAACCCCTCCAGAAATTATGAAATATATTTATGTTTAAGCTTGAAACTGAACTATGTCCATCAAAGTGGAGGACTACTTCTAGCCAATATTCAATGAGTCCAGGATTACTTTCAGACTTGAGAGATGAGAAAAAAAGAAGGCAAGTTTAGACTAGAGCCACAGGTAAGTCTGAGCAAGGACTGCTCACTGTCTAGACCAGGGGGTCGGGTCCAGAGACAGGAGAACCTGTTTATGTCTAAGCCATTTAAATCTCCAGCAAAAAGGAAAGATGTAAGTAGCAGCTACTCCTCTGTGCCCAGCCATCATCATCCTGGTGATTACTTGTCCTCTTAAACCAAGAAGACTGCATTGTTCCTGTTGTTGGCAAGGCAAACCAGGGTTCAGTGACTCAGATACCTCTCCTAAACTGAGCTCTCAGCTCCAGCGGGGATGCCCTGACATTGGGACGGAGATGTGCAGATTCTCTTAGAACACAATAGATTTGGTCCCCATCTGTGTCATCTAGCTGAGCTCCTCTTAACCCAGATCTGATAGGTTCCAGGATCAACAAGAAAGTCTTTATAGACACTGTGACATCCACACACCGAGGCTGCAGCAATCTTATCCTCAAATAAACAGAACTGTCTGGTTTTAGGAAGCAGACTACTGTGGGATCTCTTGGACCACATCGACCCTTCCACACATGGAAAACATGGTCTTCACTCCTTTGGGCCACTGTCTGAAACATTGCCATGCTCACATCATCAGCTTAAGAGTTGATTTTCTACTGCAATATTCCTTCCAGGAAGAGTTGCCTCCTAAGCCCCGCCACCCAAAGTATTTTCCGCCTGCAATTTTTCAGACGATGAGAACAATTTAAGAGTATGGACTGTAACTCATTTACCATTATACCACCTGTGCTTGGAATTCAAGGCCAAGAAGGAGCTAACATAAACAACCGTGGCGAGAGAGCACTGTGATAGTATGAAATGATGTATATAATATATGTGGAAACAGACAGCTCTTTGTCTGTGTGACCTCAGGGCAGAGACATACTGCACCTTCAGTATCAACATGCGCACAGTGGGGCTACTACCCCAGAAAGCTGTCACAGAGACTAAGTAACTGTTGTAATATGGAGGTTAGAGCTCAGTATAAAATTGGTTTTGCCCAGAAAATGGGTTTTTCTGCTATAATCAAATATGCAAATACAACAACCTCTCATGAAAAAAAATTCATTCTGAGCCAAAATATAAGTCCAAGGAGGGTACTTGGCTACGAGGGCTAAAAAAAAAAAGCCTTAAAGGAAGGGCATGAGGTTTGGATGAATGACAGATGGAAAAGGAGAGATGAAGGATGTGCATCATCCTACCTTTGTCAGGTGTACTGATACTCTTCAAGCCTCTGCTACCACCTAAACAGTCTTCAGAATCCTAGTGGCAGAAAACAAGGATATAGCTCAATTAGTAGAGTGCTTATCTAGCATGCACAAGGTCCTGGGTTCAAGACCTCAGCAGTGCATAAAACCAGACATACTGGCGCATACCTATAACCCCAGTTCTCAGAAGGTGGAGAGAGGAGGATCAGAAGTTAAGGTCACCTTTAGCTATGTAGTAAATTTTAGGCCATCCTAGAGAGCATGAGACTGCTTGAAAAGAAGGAGGAAAAGACATAAGAGAGGAGGTAAAGGAAAAGAAATAGGAGTATTATTCTAGTGACAGAATGAGTTTTTCTAAATTCATGGCTGTGAAGAGACAATTGAAGTAAGATAGGTAGTTAGGAAGCTAAAAGCTCTCAATGGCTTGTTAAATAATCATATGATTTATAGCAGTTTACTGGAGATTTTACTGCAAATATATAGACATGTGATTGTTGCATCAAATAACAAATATGAAAATCAGAAGGATTTCTACAGAAGTCATAGTGTATTGATTAGGAGAAGCAGCCTATGCCAATTATGTCAGAGAAACACTGTGCATATTAGGTACCATGGACAGTTCCCGATGAGTGCGGTCCTCCTTAGAACTCCATCATCAATCAGTTTCCTTTAACTCTGTATTTCTTTATTCCCAGATTGGAGACCGTGTCATGGCATTTGTTAACTACAATGCCTGGGCTGAGGTAGTCTGCACACCAGTGGAGTTTGTCTACAAGATTCCAGATGACATGAGTTTCTCGGAGGCCGCTGCTTTCCCCATGAACTTCGTCACAGCATACACGATGCTCTTTGAGATTGCCAACCTCCGGGAAGGGATGTCTGTGCTCGTGCACTCAGCCGGCGGTGGAGTGGTAAGTTTGCTGGTGATTCTGTTTCTTCAAGGTCATGATGGCACAAATGGAGTTGAAATTGACATTGTGATTCTTACATAGCTTGTCGTTTGTAGGAATAATCCACCACAGAGTTGGCACTCACATGGGCAGCAAAAGCCTTTATTGATTGTTGTAGTGAGGTTAGGTTGAGCCTCACAGATGGTGCCTCTGGGGCTAGGATGGTCTCAGCATGTCATGTGAGGACACAGTGGTCCCAGGCATAGTGTTTATAGAGTGACACTGAATCTTGGCATCGTAATTAAGTGCTGTGTTGATAATTATGAGATACCTACACATGTCACATCCCACTGAAGCCATACAAAATTCCAAGAGAGTGATGATGTCCTTTTCAATTAATTTCAGTGCTTGACATGATCCGTAAGAGTAACATTCTAATCCACTTGTGCACTGGCATATTTTCTTAAGTGAGAAAAATGTGGACAGAGATTGATCTGTCACACTGAGAATTGCACATGAACCTCAGCACACCCAGGAGAGTGATCATACATGGGAGTATTCTGTATGCAATCTTTCAGACACATCTTTGCCGAGTGGGAAAAGTGAAGGAAATCAAAATTTATTTTATATAGTTCAGGTACAGTGGATTTTTCTTCCATAGTTTCAATGTGTCATGGTGTGTATGTCCAATGCACACTGTCTGCCATTCACATTGATAAATACTAGGCTTGACATGCTCTACTGAGGCTTACCTGGGACTTTCATCTCTCTGAGGGGAGGTGGTATTACTCACTAACTCAACAAAGAATCATCAAGCACATGCTATGCTCTAGACTCTGTGTATGCACAGACTCAGAAGAGAAGGCATGATCTAACAGAATTTGAGAGGTTTCTAAATTGTGATTCTGTTTGCTGGCTTCAGAGATAAGTTCTTATGATTTCCTCCAGCTCAGTTTCAGTAGAGGTTTCATTAGTATTGATTTTTTTAAAACCCTTGATTTTTTACAATTACTAGAATTTTCTAAAGTGTAAAACAAATGTGTGTGTGCATGTGTGTGTGTGTGTGTGTATGTGTGTGTAAGCCAGAAGTTGACACTGGGTCATCAAGTGTCTTTCCTAGTCATTATCCATCTTTTTTTTTTTAATAAAGTCTGTCACTGAACCCATAGCTCCCAACTTACTGAGGTTGGCTGGCCAGTAAGCCCCAGGGATTGCCCTGTCTCTGCCTCCCCTGCACTGGGACAATAGGCACCACCACACCTCTCTTTTCTACATGGATGCTGAGGATGGGTCTTGGGTTCTCATGCTTATGTAGGATGCGGCTTACCAGAGTCATTTTCCCAGCCAACGAAGGTCATTTCTGCATTTCCTCTCTAAGAACACAAACTCACATCCAAAAGCAAGGGCGTGAAAGTTTCAGAATGCTTTGCAAATGGATCTTCAATCTCCTTCACAAATTTGCTGATGTCTTCTGACCATGTGTAAAGATACAATAAAAACTAAATGTCCCTGAGAAAAGAGAATACTTTTGGTTCCAGCAATCTGCTAACTGCAAGCAAGTCGTTTAGAATGCTGGCATGTATGGTCTTGGTGTATTCTGCATACAAAGTGTGGGGGTCCTTTCACATTGTCAGCAGAAGAACCTGTCCTTATGGTGGTGCAGGCTTCAGTCCTGCCAAGGGTCAATGTGATGCTTCATTACACTTGCTTGCCAACTTGATTGACTCTGGGATCAACTAAAATGCAATGTCCTGGGCATAACTAGGACTTTCTTTGTCAGATTTTTTTTACTAGGGAAGGCCACCCTAAATGTGGAAGGCATCTTTCAAGAGCCACCCAGATAAAAAGACATGGAAGCAGAATCTTTGCTTCTTGCCTCTTTGGTTTCACTCTTGCTGGCAAGACTATCCATCCTGTTGCTGCGGCGCTCCTTCAATGATAGTAGAACCAGTTTCTTCAGGCTTCCAATGTGAGCTAAAGGCTAGTAGCTCTCCAGTAACCTTTCAGACCTTCAGCATCCAACTGGGACTGCTGAGATGCTCAATCTCGTGGTCTGAGCAAGCTAGTAAGGCTTCCCCTGTGGTCTCTGCTTCAATTCCTCTCTCCAGGTTCTTGATTTGACTTCCTGCGCCCACTTCCTTCAGTGATGAACTACTACCTGGAAGTGTAATCCAAATGTACCTCTTCTTATCATGCTGCTTTGGGTCAGAATGTTTTATCATAGTAACAAAAAGCAAACCAGAACAGTTAATTTGCATATATTATCACTGAATTTTTTTCCTCTTTCTTTTTGTGCTGAGAACAAATAGAAACATCAAGACTATGTTTCCCATATACGAAAAGAAATTCTGGGAAACTTGCCATAATTTTTATTCTGCCTTATTCTGGGCTTGCAGATAGTATCAATGATAACTAAAATGAAAAAAAATGGTGAAGGAATTAGAGAAAAGGGACAATAAGAGGAGAAAAATAAGCTAATGGGCATTACGCAGGCTAAGATGTTTTAAAGCTTTGTCTGAGATGGACAGCAATTTTCTCTCTGGGCTTCATAATAGCTGGTGAAAATCGGGGAAAGTGATCATTTATGCAAGCAAGCTATGTCTATTTGATGAAAACACACCCGTTAGAGAGAAGAACCCTGGTTTGGAGACTAAATGGCTGTTCTTTGGCTTCTCATAAAGAACATATATGAGAAAGCCCTGAGGATTCTCATGAGGGCTGCTTCAGGGAGTGTGATATTTCCACCAAGTCTCCTATGCTGCGCTCTTAAGGCTGTCAAATAGTATTGAAGTAAAATAAAAAAATTCAGTGAGAGTCTACACACTGAGGCCAAGAGGATGTGGTCTGGCTTCATCTTTGGACAGACTTAAAGGTGCGGTTCAGCTACCTGTCTCTCCAGAGGGACGGCTTCTTGAAGACTATTTCTTCCAGAAAAGATTGGTAGGATCAATGAAGCAATTCAAGGTCACCATTAAAGGAAAGCGTATAGACCAAGCACATGCTTACACATAGAGATAGTCATCTGAGCTGAGGAGGCTTGACGGTCTTGCAGAAAGGAAGATTGGGCCTGGGGACAGTGGGGAGCCCCTCCACCCCTTATGGAGATGAGTGAGTCCTCCACGTTAGAACCAGAGTCCTCCCAAGACAATGGCTGGTGACTGTTCATATGGTCAGCGACACCCTGAGGGCGATTTCACCTGCATTGTCTATGACACTCTTGCAGAGAAATGGCGATGCTCCCCATCACTGTCATGGCCACGCTGGGTACAATTGTTGCAGTAGGCAGAACAATAGCTCCTGAAGACCCCTGAGTCTCTGGCCCCTTTGAGTGTGTCCCTTACATAGCAATGGGAATTTCACAAATTTGATTATGGTAAGTCTTAAGAATGGAGAAATTTTCTCAGATTGTGGCTGTTCCCAGAGAAATCATGAGAAAGAAGCCAGAAGAGGAAAGCAGAAGAGCTGGGGAGGGGGGGGTTAAAGGTGCTTCCATGTGACTTTGCTTACAGAGTGGGGCTATGAGCCAAAGATAGCAGGTGGGTCTAGATGCTGAGAGAGACATGGCATCTGGAACCCATGGAAGAGAACAACTCTGCTGACACTTTGGTTTCAGCAGAATGAAATCTATTGTGGATCTGGGATTTCCAGGGGCACAATATAAGAAAGACATGTTTTGGGAGTTCCTAAGTTTGCACTAATTTGCTACAGAGACCATTTTTTTCCTGGAATGCCTCACACAGTGGAGATGCCACTATGGCTTCACAAAAGCCCAGGAAGCAATAGAAGAGTTAAAATTTGTACCCTACTCCGGGTGATCCTAGGCCTATTCTTTTCCCACTCAACAAACCAGAATGTTAGGAGAACATAGGGCATTCATTCTCATGCTTCCATGTACTCAGGACTTGGGAGATGGCTCAGTCAGTAAGGTGTTTGCTATGCACTGGGGTCTGATCTCCAGAACCTATACTAAAACTAAAACTAGTGAGGCAGAGACAGGCACATTTTGGGGCAACCACTTGAAAGTTCCAAATCAGTGTGAGACTATTTTTCAATAAACAAGGCAAACAGTTGCTGAGGAATGACCTCTAGCCTCCACATGCATGTACACACATGTATACATGAACACACAATCACACACACAAACACTCACATACACACACCATTTAGTGAATTTTCAGCAATAAACATAGACATTTCAAAAGCTGTGAGACTGTGGCCAGGCATACCTATTCTAACTTGATATTGATGTGATTGTGAAGATTAAACCTCATTAGGATAAAACTGCCTAACCTGGGTTTCTCTAAGACTACATACAGTCTTCGCAGCACCAAGATTTCTGTCATCTTTTCAGTGAAGACTTGGGTGGAAATTTTGCAAATAGCTCACAAAGAATGCCAACGTTAGCTGTGATTTTCTAGAACTATAATAGGGCATTGAGAACTAATTCAGACCAGAGCAGGATGTGTGGTCGCTGTAGTGGCCCAAATGTATCCACTGCCCCATCAAAGCGTTGGATATGTAATTTTCTCAGACTGCAGCATGACCAGATGGCCTGAGCTGCTAATGCCCCTAATCAAATCCTGAGAAACTGGTGGAAAATTGGTCCATGAGTCCTTAAAATCAAAGCAACAAAGTAAGCAATGGTGTGGGACTCCTGTGAGGACCTGTGTGGGCTTTCTTCCAATCCCATCCAGCATGCCTTCTTGATGAGCCTCCTGAGTTTGGGCATCATGACTCAGGTGTGCTCCATTTCTGGAAGTGGCATGATTTTTAGATTGTTACTGGGTTTTCTCCCCTACTTCCCTCATCAGAGCAGTGATCCCATTGGCAGTGAGTGCCATCCCATTTGATAGATGCAGGCGCTGATGGAGAGGGGAGCGAGAGTAGTAAGAATAGCAGAGACAATGCGCTTTAAGCCTCTTGACCCTGTGCTTCATGCTCTTGATGCTCCACCATCTGGGTCCTAGCATCAGAGAGACAAGAAGGTGAGAAGGGTGGATCTCACAGACATCCTCAGGAAA